GACGCTGCCGCCACCGCTGCCACCGCGGCCGCCACCGCCGATATCGCCGCCGCCGTCACCGCCGCCGCCACTCCCGCCCCCAGCAACTTCCGCATCGCGTCCACCAGACGGTCCGCCTGGAACGCAATCGCCAGACGACCAACCATCTCCACAGCGGCCGCCACCGCCGATGTCGCCGCCGCCGCCGCCACCGCCGCCGCCGCCACCGCCGCCAGCTACTTCGGCATCGCGTCCACCAGACGGTCCGTCTGGGCCGCAGCCGCCAGACGAGCAGTCATCTCCACCGCCGCCGCCACTACCGCTGTCACCACCGCCACCACAGACGCCGACGCCACCACCTCTGCTGCTGCCACCACCGCCGCCGACGCCACCGCTGCCGTTGCCACCTCCAACGCCAACGCTTCCACCGCCGTCGCCACCACAGCTACCGTCGCTACCTTTGCCGCCAACGCCGACGCCACCACCACAGTCGCCACCACCGCAGCCGACGCCACTACCACCGCTGCTGTCGAAGCCACCACCGCTGCTGCCGACGCTCCTACGACCATCGCCACCCGTGCCATCGCCATTGCCGCCCTCACCACCGCTGCCGTCGCCGCCAGCTCCTTCCGCACCGCTTCCAACGAAAGGTTCGCCACCGCCAGGTACGCCCTTCACACTGTCGCCGCAGGACCCTGGCGAGCCCGCTGACGTGCCGCCGCAGTACGATTCGCCTTGGCTTCCTCCTGCCTTTCCCGCTGGTGCTCATCCGCCACCGCCTCCCGCCTACCCTGCTTCACACCCGCCGCCGCCGCCGCCGCCCCCGCCCCCGCCGTCTAACGCGGCAGTTTGGCCAGATTGGCCAGATTGGCCGTCGGGACCCGCGGACAGCCCCCCGCCAGACCCTCAGGTACGGCAAGTGGCTGCGGAGCGAAGGGGATGTCTTTTGGCTTTCGGGATAATCATTTCCATCCCGAGGCTCCTTTCCTCCCAGCGCGTCTAAATGATCTGAGTTCCTGCCTACCTTCACTGCCACTGCCACTGCCGTTCTCTCCACCTCTACCTCCACTTCTCACCGTGCATGCGCGCACACTCGCTCCCTGTGCAGACCACCGCACTCCTCCGAATTGCCGCTGTTTTTGGTACCGGACCCGATACCGAGTGCGACCTGTCGGCCTGGAGCGACTATGTTGACCCTTGCGTCTGGGCGCCGCGCGTGGCCTGTGCTGACGGCGGCAGCGGCCGCGTCACCACCCTCAACCTCACGGGCTGCTGGGGCACCGGCAACGGTACCGCTGTCGGCGGCGTCGCCTTCCCCACAGACGACTTGCTACAGCTTCACAGCCTCACCACGCTACTGCTCGCAGACACGGGCGTCAGCGGCGAGCCGCCGGCAGCGCTGTCGGCGCTGACCGGCATTCGCCACCTGGACCTCAGCTACAACCGGGCCGCAGTAGCGGCGGCGGCGCAGCGCAATGCCGCCGGTGGCCTGGCCGGCCCGCTGCCGGCGGCCTGGTCCGCGCTGACGGCGCTTTCGTACCTGGACTTGGCTGGCGGCGCGTTAC